CAACAGTCATATCCAGGAAGGTCTGGTTCTCAACGTGTTGACTGCCATGTGACCACTGGCATGTCAAAAACAACACCAAATGGCAGCCTTGGTAGTTAAAGTGTTAAGCCATATACTTGCTCATGCCAATTGGTATGTAACATACTGCTATGTTTTGCTTAATTTAAAAGAATATCTACCCAAGTAAGTCTCTAATGTAACATATATCAGCATGACAAATACTACCCCAAGCTCATGAGGATGCACTCCAACCATGCAATGCCTTGGAAAATTCCCATGTGTGAAAGTCTGCTCTGAAAAACCATACTATAATATTTCAAGGAGGTGCCAGCTTTCATGTTTTCATGACAGAAACATTTGGTTGACATCTGTCTCATGAAAGTAGAGCATAAAACCAGAAAGAAAAATCCCATATCACTGAACCAGTGAGGAGAGGAGGTCTTTCCTTTAGACCAGGCCCTTGCACAGAGGATGGGAAGGATCAATGCTCTTTCCAATCTGCAAGGAAATCACTTTCACATGCTTTTTTAAATGTTTATATATGAGCATCCCAACCTATTGACCCTGCATGATCAGGAATAGTTGGCACCATCCTTACATAGCTCATATGTCCACTACTGATAGGATAAGCAAGAGGCATGAGGGTAGGGCATTTTACCAATTAATCCCATTTATTGGATGAACTTCAGTCAAGGAGGACAATGAAAGGGGAATAGACTGCTAGACACTGAAGTGTGCCAGAAGAGATAAAATGAAATTGCACATTATTTTACTTTGCACAAAATGAGAGTTTTCTGTTAAGCAAGTTAAGCACAGTGCAAGGAGTAATGGTGAATCCCAGCATGGGAACAAAGCTGAGCACTACTCCCAATCTGAGCTGCATTACTTCAATATGTTATCACACCATTATCAATGAGGCATTAATACAAAACTTGTAAGACTGGTCATGACATACCATATTCCTAAAACACAGTATAAGAATGCACAAGTTTAAATCATGATTTGTTCATATGTTTTTCAATACATTAAACTATACATTGACAACATTTTCCAGAGGACAAGGGTTCCATACATGATAATAAAATGGATTTCTAAGAAGAGCAGGAACAATGAAAACAGTGATATTTCCAATGGCCCCACAAACCACAATGGAATGATGCTTGAACAAGCCCCATAGGAATGTGATAGACAATGACCTACCTTGAAGACACCATCCTGGTCGATGCCAGCCTCATCCAGTCCCTGGAGGTTGATGAACTTCACTCTAATGACTCCCTTCAGGGCTGTTGGGGTCAATGATGACAACTGCCGATATCCATCATCCACTAAGCTGCTCCTGTTGCGTACAGAAAGAAAATGATCACTGCACTACTCACTCCCTTTATAACTTTATTCCTAAAGCAAGTATTGCCAGGCCCATAGAGAGGCAGGGGGGGGGAGTAAAGGGGCAATTTGCCCTGGGCTTCCCATTGCTGGCACCCCCTCCCTCCAGTTTCACAGGTTCAAGGCCCTCACCAATAAAATTGTCCCAGGCCCCATAATTCTTTCAGCAGCCCTGGGTATTGCATAACGTTCATGACCTTTTGCCTACCGGTGTACACTGATGACAGTAGAGAAGCAAGAGTGAGATGGAGAAGAATCCAAGAGGCCAAGTCGTTCCTTATCCTCTTGTACGGCCTTGCGGAACAGGATGACCCTCTCATGATGAGGAATCAAGTGGGGCATCTTCTTCATCAGCACCTGTTTATCATTTCAAGGAAAAACAGCTTATTGGAAGCCCAAAGATATTTTGATATATCTGTGCAATGTATATTTGAAAATGCAATCAAACAGCATTTTTTCTAAATAAATCTGGAATAGAGGACCAAGATGAAAGTGTTCACCAGAGCACGTGGCTTCTTTTTCTCCAGCTCATACAGAAAGGAGGAGACACTGACATCCTTTAGAAGCCAGTGATTTGGCGTTGTGAAACGTCTCCGTGAGTCCCGCCAGTAGATCAGCACCAGCATCTTGTGCAGCGATGCAAATAAATGATTCTCAGACAATCCATGGGAGGCTGAAACAAGTGTCACATGTTATGGCAAGCAAGTCACTAATCATGTAACCCTTCATCAATAACGATATGGTACTTCCACTCACAAATCAGCTCTGTCCAAAGAGATTTGAAGAGGAACTGGTTCAAGAAGCGTGACAGAGAAGTCAGATCAGAGAGGGAGATGGGTTTCTGGTCTTCATAGAGTTCCTTGTCATCCAGGATTCTGAAAAACGAGAAAACATCAGTGAACCGCCAGTTACTTCCTAAAATTAACAAGTTACAGTAATAAGTACTTGATTGAAACAGTTCTGTTTCCAACAAAAAAGATAAAGTTAAAAATAGACTTGTTTTTCCTGTTTTTTGAACCTGGCAATAAAACAACATAATTTGAATTAATGCCAAAAATGTGATTATTATAGCATGAAGTCACCATCACACCAAAGCAAGAGCTGCTTCTCAAAATACCTATCAGGAATCAAATATCCTTAACCACCCTGACCTTCATATCTCTCTCTTCTACACTGAACATCAAGTTAGATAAGGTAATGGCAAGCAAAGGAGAGTAGCACTCATTCTGTGATAATGGTTTTTTTCTTCTCTTCCTCATTAAAGTTCAGTCGAATAATTACGAATAGATGAACTGATTATTAGAAAAGATTTTCTTGGCAGGTTCATTGCAAAAATTGTTTAGCAAATCATTTGTTATCAAAGTTTTGTACAACTCCACTTTCAACTACTTGCTTGGCTACAGTAATGGTTACCTGCAGGATAAGCAAAAAGCTACAACATAAGGCATTGAAAAAATATAAT